GTTTCAGGGCCTGAAACACACGTTTATGCATGTCTCAGGTCTTCCCCACCATATTTTGATCATAAAACCAAAAACTTTATAATTTGGTTTTATTATCAAAATACGGTGGGGGAAGACCTGAGACATGCATAAACGTGCGTTTCAGGACCTGAAACGCACGTTTATGCATGTCTCATGTCTTCCCCCAGCATATTCTGATAATAAAACCAATTTATAAAGTTTTAGGTTTTATTATCAAAATATGCTGGGGGAAGACCTGAGACATGCATAAACGTGCGTTTCAGGGCCTGAAACGCACGTTTATGCATGTCTCAGGTCTTCCCCCAGCATATTTTGATAATAAAACCAAAAACTTTATAAATTGGTTTTATTATCAAACAGCAGCAGTTCATGCAGGGATCCCCCTCGTCACAACACTCCCACATGCGAGCATCCAAATTCTCGAACCAGTGGGAAAACAGATACAAAGTGAACGCACTCAAGATCATCTACGACAGATTCCTACTGCCAAATGCACAAGAGCTTAGCGAGAACGTCAGACTGCGGGGTCGATTGAGCATAGTTAGATCAAATCTGAAGAAGAAAACATTTTGCGATTAAGGTCGAAAGCATTGGGCCATATTACGAGCAAAAAAACTCGACAATATGAAATGCATATGATATGAAAACGCACAAGCGGTAAAGTTGAACAAATACTATTTGATAAGTTTATCACAACAATTAGGCTATTTGGTATTACGAGCATGATAGTCGAAGTCCTGTTTTGGATCCCCACATGGACGTTTTTTTGGAGGGTATGAGATTCGACAGTGTCAATGAGCAGCAGCAGCACCACTGGGACCAAATGAACCTACAACAACAGCAGCAGTTCATGCAGGGATCCCCTTCGTCACAACACTCCCACATGCGAGCATCCAAATTCTCGAACCAGTGGGAAAACAGATACAAAGTGAACGCACTCAAGATCATCTACGACAGATTCCTACTGCCAAATGCACACGAGCTTAGCGAGACCGTCAGACTGCGGGGTCGATTGAGCATAGTTAGATCAAATCTGAAGAAGAAAAAATTTTGCGATTAAGGTCGAAAGCATTGGGCCATATTACGAGCAAAAAAACTCGATAATATGAAATGCATATGATATGAAAACGCACAAGCGGTAAATTTGAACAAATACTATTTGATAAGTTTATCACAACAATTAGGCTATTTGGTATTACGAGCATGATAGTCGAATTCCTGTTTTGGATTCCCACATGGACGTTTTCTTGGAGGGTATGAGATTCGACAGTGTCAATGAGCAGCAGCAGCACCACTGGGACCAAATGAACATACAACAGCAGCAGCAGTTCATGCAGGGATCCCCTCGTCACAACACTACAACATTCGAGCATCAAAATACTCGAACGAGTGGGAAAACAGATACAAAGTGAACGCACTCAAGATCATCTACGACAGATTCCTACTGCCAAATGCACAAGAGCTTAGCGAAACCGTCAGACTGCGGGGTCGATTGAGCATAGTTAGATCAAATCTGAAGAAGAAAAAATTTTGCGATTAAGGTCGAAAGCATTGGGCCATATTACGAGCAAAAAACTCGATAATATGATATGCAAATGATATGAAAACGCACAAGCGGTAAATTTGAACAAATACTATTTAATAAGTTTATCACAACAATTAGGCTATTTGGTATTACGAGCATGATAGTCGAATTCCTGTTTTGGATTCCCACATGGACGTTTTCTTGGAGGGTATGAGATTCGACAGTGTCAATGAGCAGCAGCAGCACCACTGGGACCAAATGAACATACAACAGCAGCAGCAGTTCATGCAGGGATCCCCTCGTCACAACACTACAACATGCGAGCATCAAAATTCTCGAACCAGTGGGAAACCAGATACAAAGTGAACGCACTCAAGATCATCTACGACAGATTCCTACTGCCAAATGCACAACAGCTTAGCGAGACCGTCAGACTGCGGGGGTCGATTGAGCATGGTTAGATCAAATCTGAAGAAGAAAAAATTTTGCGATTAAGGTCGAAAGCATTGGGCCATATTACGAGCAAAAACCTCAATAATATAATATGTATATGATATGAAAACGCACAAGCGGTAAATTTGAACAAATACTATTTAAAAAGTTTATCACAACAGTTAGACTATTTGGTATTACGAGCATGATAGTCGAATTCCTGTTTTGGATTCCCACATGGACGTTTTCTTGGAGGGTATGAGATTCGACAGTGTCAATGAGCAGCAGCAGCACCACTGGGACCAAATGAACCTACAACAACAGCAGCAGTTCATGCAGGGATCCCCCTCGTCACAACACTCCCACATGCGAGCATCCAAATTCTCGAACCAGTGGGAAAACAGATACAAAGTGAACGCACTCAAGATCATCTACGACAGATTCCTACTGCCAAATGCACAAGAGCTTAGCGAGAACGTCAGACTGCGGGGTCGATTGAGCATAGTTAGATCAAATCTGAAGAAGAAAACATTTTGCGATTAAGGTCGAAAGCATTGGGCCATATTACGAGCAAAAAAACACGATAATATGAAATGCATATGATATGAAAACGCACAAGCGGTAAAGTTGAACAAATACTATTTGATAAGTTTATCACAACAATTAGGCTATTTGGTATTACGAGCATGATAGTCGAAGTCCTGTTTTGGATCCCCACATGGACGTTTTCTTGGAGGGTATGAGATTCGACAGTGTCAATGAGCAGCAGCAGCACCACTGGGACCAAATGAACATACAACAGCAGCAGCAGTTCATGCAGGGATCCCCTCGTCACAACACTACAACATTCGAGCATCAAAATACTCGAACGAGTGGGAAAACAGATACAAAGTGAACGCACTCAAGATCATCTACGACAGATTCCTACTGCCAAATGCACAAGAGCTTAGCGAAACCGTCAGACTGCGGGGTCGATTGAGCATAGTTAGATCAAATCTGAAGAAGAAAAAATTTTGCGATTAAGGTCGAAAGCATTGGGCCATATTACGAGCAAAAAACTCGATAATATGATATGCATATGATATGAAAACGCACAAGCGGTAAATTTGAACAAATACTATTTAATAAGTTTATCACAACAATTAGGCTATTTGGTATTACGAGCATGATAGTCGAATTCCTGTTTTGGATTCCCACATGGACGTTTTCTTGGAGGGTATGAGATTCGACAGTGTCAATGAGCAGCAGCAGCACCACTGGGACCAAATGAACATACAACAGCAGCAGCAGTTCATGCAGGGATCCCCTCGTCACAACACTACAACATGCGAGCATCAAAATTCTCGAACCAGTGGGAAACCAGATACAAAGTGAACGCACTCAAGATCATCTACGACAGATTCCTACTGCCAAATGCACAACAGCTTAGCGAGACCGTCAGACTGCGGGGGTCGATTGAGCATGGTTAGATCAAATCTGAAGAAGAAAAAATTTTGCGATTAAGGTCGAAAGCATTGGGCCATATTACGAGCAAAAACCTCAATAATATAATATGTATATGATATGAAAACGCACAAGCGGTAAATTTGAACAAATACTATTTAAAAAGTTTATCACAACAGTTAGACTATTTGGTATTACGAGCATGATAGTCGAATTCCTGTTTTGGATTCCCACATGGACGTTTTCTTGGAGGGTATGAGATTCGACAGTGTCAATGAGCAGCAGCAGCACCACTGGGACCAAATGAACCTACAACAACAGCAGCAGTTCATGCAGGGATCCCCCTCGTCACAACACTCCCACATGCGAGCATCCAAATTCTCGAACCAGTGGGAAAACAGATACAAAGTGAACGCACTCAAGATCATCTACGACAGATTCCTACTGCCAAATGCACAAGAGCTTAGCGAGAACGTCAGACTGCGGGGTCGATTGAGCATAGTTAGATCAACTCTGAAGAAGAAAACATTTTGCGATTAAGGTCGAAAGCATTGGGCCATATTACGAGCAAAAAAACTCGATAATATGAAATGCATATGATATGAAAACGCACAAGCGGTAAAGTTGAACAAATACTATTTGATAAGTTTATCACAACAATTAGGCTATTTGGTATTACGAGCATGATAGTCGAAGTCCTGTTTTGGATCCCCACATGGACGTTTTCTTGGCGGGTAAGAGATTCGACAGTGACAATGAGCAGCAGCAGCACCACTAGGACCAAATGAACCTACAACAGCAGCATTTCATGCAGGGATCCCCCTCGTCACAACAATACAACATGCGAGCATCAAAATTCTCGAACCAATGGGAATCCAGATACAAAGTGAACGCACTCAAGATCATTGCGACAAATTCCTACTGCCAAATGCACAAGAGCTTAGCGAGAACGTCAGACTGCGGGGTCGATTGAGCATAGTTAGATCAAATCTGAAGAAGAAAAAATTTTGCGATTAAGGTCGAAAGCATTGGGCCATATTACGAGCAAAAAACTCGATAATATGATATGCATATGATATGAAAACGCACAAGCGGTAAATTTGAACAAAAACTATTTAATAAGTTTATCACAACAATTAGGCTATTTGGTATTACGAGCATGATAGTCGAATTCCTGTTTTGGATCCCCACATGGACGTTTTCTTGGAGGGTATGAGATTCGACAGTGACAATGAGCAGCAGCAGCACCTGCTCGATATAGCCATTGAATCAAAGCCGAGAATATTTCTTTACGGCTTCAAATGTCATCACTATTGTCTGCGAGGGCTGAGAAATATTCTTTACGACCCTAATGGTCACATTTTTTGTGTCAATTATTGACTTCCTAGATGTGTAGATGTAGTCTAAGGATCCTTGAGACAGACTTGGGATGAATTTGAGATGCCCTTTAAACATTTGAATTAACTTTTTTCAACAATAATTCTCAACTGGGCTTTTTAATATAAATTTAGTCAACCAGGACTAAACAAATGTATCAACAACACTGTATCAACTACTAGTCGATTGCTGTAGTTAGAGCGACAGTTAATTAAGAATCATCTTTTGATCTTTAGCTGCTTTCTAACTTAACCTTTTGAGTTTCTACAATTTACTATTTAAAAGTATTCTTTTCAACTTTGAATTCACAAATTATACAGAGATTATAACAACAGGACATTTAATTTCAACAATCATCTTTCGACAAAATTCAGGGTGTCAATAGACAAAGTCTCATTTGGAGGCAGCTGACTTCTCCAGTCTCTGCTGTCGCTCATCCATGATGGTAAGACGGACTCCCTTCTGCTTCGGGAACGTCACCCAAGGCGTCTTCTCCTCCCCAATCACAAACACGTTCGTTATTCTTGTCGCAAATTGATGGCCTGGAACGTTTCCAATGTTAATTCCAACAATCACAACATACAATCGACATAGGAAATAAGATCACTGATAAGATACGCAAGAAAGGCATACATTTTGAAAATCTGATTTTCCATAATGATTGGAAAAATTGGCGTTAATTTACTTTAGAAAGGCTGTGCTTACCAAGGGCATCTTTCACGTGAATGATGTCGATAGCGCCCTGCAATTTCTCGCGTCTCTGGATGATTCCGATGCGGCCGATGTTGGCGCCGCCAGTGATCATCACCAGCTTGCCCAGCTCGAAGTGGATGAACTTGGTGATCTTCCCGCTGGCAATGTCCACCATGACAGTGTCGTTAGGCTTGATCTCCGGGTGGTGGTAGCGGATGGTACGCGCGTCGTGAGTCACCAGGAAAGGAACCTTCTTGGGCGCAACCTCCAACTTACGCACTTTGCACAATTTGTACTGCAAAACAAAAAGAATTACACTGTATTTGCGAATAACATTTCTAAAACATATTAACGGATCAACTTACAGCTGCTTCCTCCTTTGTGACTGGGTGCACCTTGAATCTTCCCTTTGTGTCGTAAATCAGACGGAAAAACTCTCCAGTCTTTTCGATGGTTATCACATCTAAATTCATTGAATGCTGCATTACAATTACCAAATTGCTAATGGAATTTCAACTTACCCATGAATCCGGCAGGGAAGGTTTTGTCAGTTCGGATTTTACCATCGACCTTGATGAGTCTCTGCATGAGAATCTTTGTGCACTCGCTGTAGTTCAAAGCATACTTCAGTCTGTTTCTGAGCAATACTGCGAGAGGTAAGCATTCTCTCAATTTGTGGGGACCAGTTGAAGGACGAGGAGCCTGAATACAATGTTGATCACAGCGAATTCAATCAAGAGTCAAGTTAATTTCATCCTAGAGGGAAGCGGGAACTAATAACGTTCACGCCGTGTACATATATATTGAACTTACAAATGTGCCTCCAAGTTTGTCTAACATCCAGTGCTTGGGGGCAGCAAGACGTTTCAAATGCTTTTTGGGTCCACGAGCCATGTTGTCTGTGTAGCACGCCACCAACATCGCAGCGACAGTTGTGAACACGGTGCAGATTGGAACAACCTCGACCTTTCGGTGTGGCAATTTTCATGTTCCGGAGCAACAGACTTAACCAAGGACGTGTTTGGGAGCACGTTAGGAATTTGCGGATTTGTATAGACGGCGTGATGCGTACGGTTGAGATGGGTTTTTCAGCGTTAATCCCGGAATTTAATCATGTGAAGCCAGAATAGGTTTGAATCACTAAATGTTCGCTCGATGACATGCCGGAAATATGGCTTGCAACCGGGGTTGCCACTAGGGTTTAGCAACTATCCATATCAATAATTTCGGTTTCGATTTTAATAGTTTGAGACATGTTAAATCAACAAATAAATTGAATGGATCAACAAATTTTCGAGCAAGAAATAATTATACGTGTTTACTGTATAATTGTATCATGAAGGTGTGTTAATGGCGGGCCAGCTGGGTTGGATTCAGGGCTTGACAGGTACTTGTTGTCTTGTTGCAGGTATCACGTCATCAGTTCAAAGTTTGCGGCATGACGACACTATGACGACATGCAGTTTTCGTGCTCGCGCTGCAGCAGAGGTGTGAAGCAGGTACCAGTCAACACCTCCAGCACCACGTCACCAGCTGACTTGATCTCGCTCGCGCCATTCTTGATTATTAATGATACACTGTGGGCAGCATCCAGTTTTCAATCTTGATTATATGCTGCTTTGGCCATATCATCAATTATTGCCACACGTCATTCATAATAACACACAATAATTACTCTTGTCGTGTACTAACATAATATAATATAAATCTTGTATAACATCTCCTTTTTCCAAATTATAACCTGCTTAGATGTGTTTAGCCAACATGGATGAGTGCAACAATCATGTAGTTTGAAGCCGAGAATATTTCTTCACGGCTCTAATTTGCACGTGGGGCTGAGAATATTTCTTTACGACCCTAATTGTAATGTTGTACTATATTCAGCTGCTGCAGGTAAATATAACTTATCCAATTGGGTGATATAATCCAAGTAAATTTCCAAACCCTTGAAAATAATTGAAATTAGTAGTAACGAATAGTTCCAATAACAGTAACAAGTAAAGAGTGAGGAAAGTAAGTAATTAAAGGAGGTTTTTTATGAACCAATGCACAAATTTGACGTATAGTTCGCGGAGGAGAGCATCTGCGTGCATTGATTCGGTGTATTCTTTGATTTTTCCAAAAGAATTTCGGAGTTCGGTGAGCTCGGCATCAACCACATGACGCCAGGTGCTGTTGTCGTTGGTCACCCGCTCATCCAGCTCGCAGAAGACTAGGCGGAAAGACTCGGCGGAAAATTGCAATTGCAGCCGCCACGATGGCTTTTTTCTGTTCGCCCTTTCATATGCACGGGCATCAGCGAAGAAACTGTACCAATAGGACAGTGTTCCCACTTCCTGCGCGACGAGACAGATGGCGCCTACGCTGAAGCCGTCGACACAATCAGCGAGGTCGTTCACAAAGTCGAGGGTGACTGAAACGATATATATTTTAAACACAACATTACGACATTGAAGCGGGTTTGTCAAATGATTAAGTTTTGAAGAAAATGCATGATATTTTGTTTTAAAAAAAAGGTATTTCAGCACCCGGAATATTCTTGAATTCCACCAGGGAGCCAATTCAAAATCATAGCAAAACATCAAATAAACAGTACTTACTATGTGATGGTTTAGAAATTTTTTTAAGGTCCGTTGCCAGTTTCCGTGCCTGCTGCTTGTTCTGTTGCTGTTCTGATTGTTGTGTTGCTGAGAGAGTGGAAGTTGATGATGATGGAAGTTGATGATGAGAGGCTGCTGCTGCTGTTTCCACCTCGTCAATTTGCCTTTTGCGGCCTGAAACCATAGAAAAATATCAGGGCGGGAAGAAACGGGTTTTTACTGAACTTAAAACCAAAAAAACGTATTAAATCAATTAACATGGGCGATTCAAGAATCACAACAAGCGACGGAGGAAGACGATGCATGTTTATTTGAGCTTACCCTGCAAACTCAATTGCAAACGCAATTGGTCGGATGTCTTGCGTTCAGCGGCCAGTTCTCTACGCAAGTCCTCCAACTCCTGTTCTCCAGCTCTACGCAAGTCCTCCAAGTCCTGCAGCTGACTTCGCAGGTCCTCCATTTCTGTCAGTCCATCAGTCTGTACACCCAAGTTTCGGGTCCTGGCTGGCTGTAGGTTGGGTTCGACGATGGAAGTTCGGCTGGAAGTTGCGCGAGGTTCGACTGGAAGTTGCGCGAGGTTTGGTTCGACTGAAGTTGCGCGAGGTTCGTCTGAAGGTTGCGCGAAGGTTGCGGCTGAAGGTTGAACTGAAGGTTGCGCGTCTGGTTCGACTTCGTCATCTAAAAGGCACATGCTTAAAAAATGGTCTACAATATATATAATATATATACAAATCGAGGCTAAAATAATGTATAATGTACTAAAAAAGATTTTGGGAAACATTCGGAAGTGGGTTGTTTTTACTAGATAATTTACTAGATACTTTATCGAGGAAAACGATCATATGTATCGGAGTTCATGTCCAAAAAAAATCAAATTGCACCGGAAAAAAGAAAAAATCAAATTGCACCGGAAAAGAGGGGTCTATACATAAAGTACTTTTCCTGAACTATACATAAATAAAATTTACATACCGGCTTTGAGGACTCGTCCCTTCCAGCATTCTGAGTTTGCCCAGTAGTGAAAGGAGTCGCCTCCTTCCACACTTGCCGCAAACGTCCGCCCATTGAACAGTCTTTGAGTGTGGGGGGCAGTGGTCTCGTCCTTTTGATTGGGGATGTAAAGAGTTGCAACATCCGTGTAGTTGCGCGTGTGGATGTGCGTATTGTTGGACGACCAGTACCACTCCAAGAGGACGGAGATATCGTTTGACTTTTTGCTCGAACTCGTCTAAACGAACATTAAATTATAAAAGTTTTCACACAACATGATTGCAGGAACCTAATTCCGCATTAATTTTTTTTACAATGAACAATACTTTTCCAATAAAGTACAGCGAGTAACTTACTGATGGTTCAATTAGCAGACAGCAATTTGACATTTCGAAGGGCTTTTGATTTACTTTTCGTGTCGGCAGAGAGACGCGCTGACCGGCAGTGACGTAGAATACGCCCGTACTGCTACGGTCCAGCGCGCTCCCGTGGACTAGCTTGATCTGGGTTATCAGTTCACTCATGAATGTCTGAAATGAAATGAAATGAAATGGAAATGAAATGAAATGAACTTAAATCAATTAAATCAGGCGGGAAACAATTTACTATGAACTTAAATTAGGCTGAATTAGTCATTTCACAGGCGGGAAACAATTGAATTGCCTTCTTTGAAGCGCCGCATATTCAGGCGGATTGCAATTTGAGGCAGCGTGTGGAATTCGCGGCATGCGATTGACTATGGCGTCATATTTTGATTTAATTGATTTAATTAAGTCGATTTAAATCACGATTTAAATCATGATTTAAATCAAGTTGATTTAATCGTTCCCAACCCTACGCAAATGTGGCCACGCAAATCTATTCAGAAAGAAACAGAAAAGCAAAAAGACAAGTAAATTTCATGCATAAAGAACCATCATTGAATTAATTGGAAATGAACTGGACTGCACTATAAAATTTTGGCTCTTTTTCCTTTTCCCCCCCACCTGCAAATTTTTATATTTGAAGTTACTGTTCACTTTGTCCGAGTGTCATGAAAATTGGCATGTAGACTAATTAGGCCATGTTAAACATATTTGGTCTCCATAATTAACCTTGTAAAACATCTCATTAGACCATAAAATTTAGACTCATTAGACCATAAAATTAATTTAAAAAGTTTATCACAACAGTTAGACTATTTGGTATTACGAGCATGATAGTCGAATTCCTGTTTTGGATTCCCACATGGACGTTTTCTTGGAGGGTATGAGATTCGACAGTGTCAATGAGCAGCAGCAGCACCACTGGGACCAAATGAACCTACAACAACAGCAGCAGTTCATGCAGGGATCCCCCTCGTCACAACACTCCCTGAGATTTGCCGAGATTTAAAGGACAAAACTAGATTGTTCGTAATAGTGAATTGATTGATTAGTTGCTTTGATTCTTAGTTACTTGAGATTTAGTTAGTCAGACTTTGACTAAATGAAATAGAACAAATAGAGATTGAATAAACTTTACATCTAACAACGATGTATACAAAACATAAGAGTGATCACACACAGTGTGTCGCTCGGTAAGGCCAATCCGGTGACCTTGAGCAGACTGGTAAATAACTATGCAGCATGGCTGCAAAAGACAGCAAAATAAATGAGGTACTAAATGTCGCCTCATCACATTCCCCGCGGAAGGGAAAATTTTTGGGGAACCCAAAAATTGTTTAACACATAAATAAATAGACAGCACCCCAAAGCATTATTTTAGATAGCACCCCTATCCCGTAAAATGCATGGTGAAAAGAATAATGTTTAAATACGAAGTTTTGTTAAAAGTTTGAGAGTGAGTGTTTTTTTTTTTTTTTCGATCTTCAGATTTCGTCCTGAGCTTTAACTGGCGAGGAGGAAAATGACGCCTCCGGAGAAGTTAAGTGTAAACGGTCCCGAACAAGAGGTCTACGTTTAGGTGACGTGAAGGATGATGGCACTGAAGTGTCTTTTGCGTATGTCTTGGAAGATGGTATAATACTTGTAGAGGATGACAAGTCGGCTTCTTTTCCTAATGATTTGGCTTCTTCCACCGATTTGACCGAGTGCCGTAACGGGTCGCCGAAAACTCTTGTGGCCTTTTTGTTTCGAGATGAGGCCCGAGTGCCTTCCAGATCATCCGTAGTCGGTTGGGCTGGGAGGGAAAGAGAAGGGAGCGACGAATATTGGTCTGCCTGGGCGCCTTTTCCTTGGACAATAGGACTCTCGGAATCAACCACGTCCAGTGGTACTTGATGCGAACCAGCAACCCAAGTTGTGGACTCAGCAGGCTGAATGGTGAGCGGGGGGTCGACACTAGTATCCATAGAAAATGGGCCCGGTGTGAGGGACGAGCTGCCAAACGTAACCGGTTGTGATTCGTCGTGTAGCCGTAATCGCTTTTCCATCGGAGTAGATGTCCGAGTTTCATGCAAAGCGTGCTGAACGGGAGGGCTCTCACTAGATGAATCCGCTGTAAGGTCCACCACCGCCGGGTATGACGCGCTCGTGTTAGCTGGCCGTTTTTCGAGCAATTTTGGGTTAGATGCGCGAGTAAATGGTTTCTTCCCCCCACTTTTTGAAGATGAAGTTTGGAGCCGATCACCTAGTGTGTTGTAAGTTGCTGAAATGTTATTATAATTAGGCTTAAGACAGACATGATTTTTCCGATACACCCTTCCCTTGTCGGTAACATATGTATGATCGGTGACACGAGTAATTTTGAATTTCGCGAGTTTAAAAAGAGGTTTGCCAGACTGACGATCTATAATTTTTCTAAACACTCTCACACGTGTAGGATCGGATAAAAGGAGAGTTTCTAGTTTACTTGTCTTAGACTGTCGACGGGGTTGAAGTGTCGGTAGACGGCGAACAGTATCTTAGACCTCTGGAGGCGTATTGATTGACCGGTCTTCCGCAAAGTATAGTGTTTTGCGAGAGAGGCCTGTTTTTAGTGACTGAGCCAGATCCGAATGGCGACTCGACAGCTCCTGTAGCACCCGTTTTCCCCCATCTGGTGGAAGATTTCTTTTCTGTTGAGACCAGTTATTAGCCGCCCGGGCAAGATCGGCCAGCGCCTTGTACGGCGCACTGTCGGCAATGTTTCCCTCCAGAGAGAACATTGGGTTGAACCGTGGGGAAATCTGAGGACTGAGACTGCCTCTTGGCACCACTTTGGCACGATCTCGACTATAGTCCTGACTGGCAATTTGATCCGGCGTCAAGAGGTTGCGTTCAAGTCTTTGTGCTGAAGTATCAGAATTAACTATATTATGAAAAGCTTGTGACCATTCAGTATTGGGTTTACGTCCGAAGTGCAGTTCAAAAGGTGACTTCTTAAGTGTAGAATGATTGCTTTTACGGATATCTTCTATAATTCGATAGAGTACTTCTTTCAAGTTACCGAAAGTAGGATCCAGTTGTTCAGTGCCTAACTTGCGTTTTATTGTTTGTATCGTACGTTCGACGAGGCCAGAGCCCCGATGGTCTCCGACTGGGGAAAAGATGTGTTTGATACCTTTACTAGTACAAAATTGTTGTAATTTTTCGTTTTTAAAGCCGGAGCCATGATCAGTCCTGATAGAATGAGGTAAGCCATGAATTCGGATATAAGATTCAAGAAATTTCGTAACCTTTTTAGCCCCAGTAGTTTTTGTAATAAGTACAGAAGGAAATTTCGAGAAACGATCGATAGCTACCAAGAGGAATATTTTTACGCCTCTATCATCTACAATAGGACCGGCAAAATCTAACTGTAACTCCTGATTAGGCCCCGTTAACAAGGGCAAAGATTGAGCGGTATGAAAAGTCTTGACGGGCTTTAGTTTCTTACCATACAACGTGCATTCGCGGCATCTTTCGCAGGTGTCGACTATCTGCCGATTCATAAATGGCCACCAAATGTATTCAGAGGCTGACATCATGGCCTCTTGACCCGGGTGCGACCGATGAAGGCGGGCAAGAACAGCTGGTCTCAGGACTTCTGGGATGGCCAGTTTGTTGTCAATTATCACACAGTTGTTGACAACCGCTGCTTTCGACCAGAATTGGGCCATGTAGGTTCCGAGTTTGTTAAAACTGGAAACGTCTTTGTTATTGATGGCCCGTTTCATCGGACCCAGAAATCTATCTTCTTCTGTGAGCTCGGCTAACAAGTCAGCGTCGAATAATCCCGGTAGTCCCACAATTTCTTTCTTGGACTTGGAGATGATAGGCTTTCCACCATTGATTGCATACACGCCAACTTTATCAGCAGAATGAGCTCTGCCCTGTCTTGACAATCGGCACTTCCGCAAAGCCTCCAAAAGCTGGTTGTGTCCCTCCCTTCTGGAGACAGTCCTGGCAGCAACAAATCGGGTTTTCGCCGCACGCTCTCTGGTCCGATTGCGTTGACGTACCTGGTCCAGTCGTGAGATTCGTCCTACTTGACGAGATCTTACTGAAGGGCGCGGGCTCGGCCGTCGAAAATTAGGTGAACTCAATGTGAAGTTTTCGACAAAAGAGAGGAGTTCTGCTTGTTCCTCCATTGTGCTATATGATGAGTGTTGTATCGGATTGTGAGCTGGTTGAGTAGTTGGTTTGTCGTTAGTATGTTCAAGATTGGAATGTGGTAGTGAAGTAGGTTTTGAGGGATTCATGTTGTTGTAGATAGAGAAGTGAGATAAAAGAGAATTAGTAGAATGAGTTAAAGATGAGAAGAAAGAGTTGCGACTATCTTTTAACAATTCAGGTCGGAGACAATGAATTGAAGCGAGCGAATTTGGTTTGCGATTATTAATTAGCATACCGGTTTCTGATTGGTCAATTCTGCAACAACATGACTTGACGCCCTCACGCGGTGAGAGACCGAACGCGCGAATTTGCATAACGTGATTTGATTGGTCGAGAAAACACTTTGATTTATGAATTTGAGGCACATCGACCTCTTGCGACGAAGAACATAACTTACTAGACGAGTCAAGTATATTAAATGTATTTATAAATGATAAGGCCGAATTGAATGCCTCATTAGACTTTACAACAAAAAGTTCATCGTAGATTGATGGCGCTGGAGCTGGGAAGGTTGGATGTCGAGACAGATAATCCACAATGCCTAAAGTAACCCCAGGCACGTGAATAACTTCGAAATCGAATGGTAATAACCGGTCCGCCCAACGTGAAAGACGCGACTGATAGGATTTGTTATTATAATTTTCACTCAATGCCGAAATAATGGCTTTGTGTTCGGTTAATACTTGAAAACGATTGCCCAATAAATAAGTACGAAAATGTTCGCACGCCCAAACGATTGCCAACAACTCAAGTTCATTCGTACTATGTTTTGTCTCAGCATTATTGAGAAAGCGTGAGGCAAACGCGGTTGGGGCCCAAACTCCTGGTTCGATCTCCTGTTCCAAACATGCCCCTAACCCGTTATGACTAGCGTCACATTTCACCCGAGAACTTTTTGAAGAGTCATAATGGAATAAATTGGGAATATTAGCCAACATATTTATGATACTCTTGAAGGCGCTATCTTGTTCCTCCCCCCACCGAAAAGACTGTTTGTTACATGCCTTTAGAGATTCTCGGAAATGAACGGTATATGTGTGTAGATCAGGTATGAATCTTTGTAAGTGATTTAACGTCCCCATAAACGAGCGGAGCTGCTTTAAGGTTTTGGGAGGTTTAAGTGATCGAATCGCATAAATCTTTGAAAATTTCGGGCAGTACCCGTGCTCATTTATGACATAACCTAGCCATGTTAATTGGTTTACTGATGTTTACACCCAGCTCGCAGAAGACTAGGCGGAAAGACTCGGCGGATAATTGCAATTGCAGCCGCCACGATGGCTTTTTTCTGTTCGCCCTTTCATATGCACGGGCATCAGCGAAGAAACTGTACCAATAGGACAGTGTTCCCACTTCCTGCGCGACGAGACAGATGGCGCCTACGCTGAAGCCATCGACACAATCAGCGAGGTCGTTCACAAAGTCGAGGGTGACTGAAACGATATATATTTTAAACACAACATTACGACATTGAAGCGGGTTTGTCAAATGATTAAGTTTCGAAGAAAATGCATGATATTTTGTTTTAAAAAAAAGGTATTTCAGCACCCGGAATATTCTTGAATTCCACC